AATTTATAATCTTAAATTTGCCTAATGTTTAAACTAACAACCAGTCTTGGCCAGGTAGACATGAGAAAAAAACCTTTTTATGATCATAAAAATAATGTTTTGTTTTGACAATTTGACCACGGTTTTTAACATTTTAAAAATGCGCTGAGAGGTTTTTAATTAATTTCAATTAAAAATAAATAACTTTGACATGTTTATCTTTACTATAATTTTCATATTAGCAAAACGCTTTTAAAAAAAGTAACTAATGATTTTAATAAAAGTTTTATAAATATTTAAATTATTTAATTATTTTATTTATAATAAATGTAATTGAAAAAAAATTCAAATCTTATAAGCGATGACTTTAAACAACAATTGTCTTTTTAACAAACTTTATAAAAGAATCATTAAAGATAACACACTCAAAAAGAAGTAAGATTTTGATGCGAAAAAAAAGACTAACTTTTTTGATAACCTTTTAAATTAAATAACTTTGATCTTTACTAATGTTTTTATATTAATGAAATGCATTTAAATAAAGTAAAGTAAACCACTGCTAATGATTTTTTTAATAAATTATTAAAGAATATCATATACATTTTTTTATATTTATATAAGTATCTATTTTTTATTATAAATGTCTTTAAATAAAAAAAATTATATCAACTTTTAAAAAAAAACAATTTAATTATTTTTACTTTTGTTCATGTTACTGCAAAGATTTGTTAAGAATCTTTTTTTTTAACTTCTTAATGTGCGTATTTATTAAAAAATCATTAAATGTAAGTTGTTACTTTATTTAAAAGGGTTTCACATAACATAATATTATAAAAACATTTGCAAAGATAAATGATTAAAAGTTATTTATTCAAAACATAATTTAAATAATCTTATCATTAAAGTATTTATTTTAGTTAGGTTTAAATTTTTATTTTTTTTTTTATTTTTAGTTGTGAAATTATTTTTATTTTATTTATCGTTTTTTTTTTTTCACAAAGATTTTTTTGCTTCTTTTAGGAATTTTTTTTAGTTAAAGTTTTTTTAAGTTTCTTTATAGTTAAGATTTTTTTAAGCACATTTTTAAAATGTATACAAATTTTCAAAACATCTTAACAGTTGTGGTCAAGTTTTTTGCAATATGATAAATTGACCGTTTCATTAAAACAGTTTCAAGATTTTAATAAACTGAGTTTGACAACTAGAAATATATCAGATACCACAATTCGAGATCACTTAATTCGAGCCTTGAATTATTGAGAGTGTAAAAATTTATAAAATGTTTAACCTTTGGTTTATTATTATGGAATATGTAATGGCAGAATTGTATGTAGAGATAATAGTTACTCTCCTAATATTACCGGTATATGTTAATAATCCAATAGCTATTGATACATTAGGTATTGTTTATAAAACCTTAATGGAAGTTAAATCTAGCAGCTCATGCAGTCCTAATGGTATACCTAATACAATTCTTATAAAATTAGCTCATGCTTTATGTTTTCCTCTTTCAAATATTTTTAAGGCTAGTATTATATCAAACACTTTATCTAATCAATGGCGCTGTTATGTTTGGATTATTTAGTTTGTTTATTTTAGACAGGCTTAAGTTGTCTGTCCTGCTAGATAATAGATTTGTTTTAAATGTGAGAAGGTTGGTCATTTTGCCAAGTTATGTAAGTCTTTTAAACTTACACCAGCAGGGACGAACCTTGTTGATCAACCTTTGAACTCATACTATTCTTCACTTACTTGACTAGACTACCCTGAACATAGAACTAATTTAAAGAATATTTCTACTTCCATTTCAGCTTTGACTAAATCAACAATTGATATGTTGGTTAATGGCTCATTTGTAAATGCTCTCATTGATAGTGGTAGCACTGATAGTTTTAATCACCTTCAATTGGTACAAAAACTAAACCTAAAAGTTCATTGATACTACCAAAAACAGGTATCTATGGCTTCATCTTCTTTATCTAGTACAGTTTGAGAAGTAGTTTTTATCAGTATTTAAATAAAAAATGAGCATTATAAACCAGTGAAACCTAACATCTTAAATGAGTCATGCATGGATGTTATTCTGGGTTTTGATTTTCAAAAACAAAACAAAGCTGTAACACTTCAATTTGAAGGAAAAAGACCCCTACTATTAATTTGTGGTTTGTTGAAGTTGAAATTATCTCCATCTAGTTATTTGGCAATTTATCACTGTAAACTAATAGCTTCAAAATGTCATTGATTTAGCAAGGAAGACCAGTCATTCATTGAAATGGAAGTACAATGTATGCTAAAGATAAAATTTGCATTATTGGTTATCTTATAGAAGAAGGAAAACTCAAAGCAGATCCCAGTCATTTTCAACCTATGAAAGAAATGCCTCCTCCTCACGATGTTAAATCCATGAAGCGCATCATCGGACTATTTTCATACTATTCTATATGGATTCCAAACTTTTCGACAAGATAACTTCTCTTACCAAAAACACCAAGTACTCATTAGATCATCAGTGTGTAAATAATTTTAATCAACTTAAACAATACATTGCAAATGCTGTGACAGATTATGTGGACAAAAATGTTTGAAGTAGAAACCGATGCATCTGACATTGCTATAGCTGCAGTTCTTAATTAAAATGGGAACCCTGTTGCTTTTTTTTTCAAGATTACTTGAAACATCAAAGATTTAGCTCAAACATCCCTCTATTGAGAAAAAAGCTTGTGCAATAATAGAAGCCTACAGACATTGGAAACACTACCTTACTGGACACCATTTTAGACTTATTACCAATCAGCAACCTGTGTTCTATATCTTCAAAAAGCAACATAAATCAAAAATTAAAAATGATAAAATTTATCGATGGAAAATTAAACCATTTTGTTATAACTATGACATTGCTTACAGGGAAGGGAAATTAAATATCCCAGCTGACACATTTTCTAGAATACATTTCTCAGCAATAAACACTGACAACTTAATTCAACTTCATCAATCACTCTATCATCCAGGAGTAACTAGATTTTATGTTTTTATTAAAAATCGTAATTGACTTTTCTCAATTGATGATGTTAAACTAATAATTAATCAGTGCATATTATGTTGTGAATATAAACCTAGATACTACAAACCACTAAAATCTAATTTGGTAAAGGTGACACAACCAGTGGAACGTTTGAACTTAGATTTTAAAGAACCTTTTCCTTCAGAAACTAATAACAAGTATTTTTTAACCATAATTGATGAGTATTCTAGTTTTCCCTTTGCCACTGTAATTAAGTGTTTGTTACAAGTATTCTCTGTTTTTAGTTTGCCAAGTTATATCCATTTCGATAGAGGTTCAGCCTTTATCAGTAAAGAATTAAAACAATACTTACTAGAGAAAGGTATTATGAGAAGTCATACTACAGCATTTAATCCCCAAGAAAATGGTCAAGCAGAAAAGTATAATGGAAGCATAATGAAGTCTAATGAAAAGACATTTACATAATAATAAGTATGAACCACTGGTAGATGAAGTTCAACTCATAGATGCTAATCCTCAATATGCTCACATAATGTACCCAGATGGAAGAGAAAACAAAGTTTCGCTAAGGCACTTAGCTCCAACAAGTTCTGCTCCAATCATTAATCAAACAAATCATATTGAACATTCACCAAAAAATGCTTTTAATAAACCTTCTTACCCTTATAAAATGTTAACATCTGAGAAATATGGACTTACCAATACCTTTCCTGAAAACTATCAGAAACAGTTTCCTCTTTATCAACCTCCACTAGCTGAATATCTTGTCAATGATTCTTATCCGATTGATCCGGTGCTATCAATAACACCTGGAAAAGACTCAAGGGTAAGTTGTCAACCATTACAACTTATAGAAGAAGATACATGAAGAATCTTGTTTATTTAATATGAACTCTGTTTATATTATGGCTGCAGAGAATGTTATGTTTTGATTATTTACTCAGTTTATTTTAGAGTAGAAAAACTTATAAGAATTAAAATTGTTGTTGTTCTTTATACAAGTGCTTCAGACTACAAGCTTTTGTCTTTTAAATTTTTTCAAATTTTTTAAATTTTATTTGACAATCATCTGATAACAGATGTTATATAAATTGACTTCTAAAAAGTGTTTGATTCTGAATTTCATTCAAAACTATTATTTAAATTTTCATTATACAATATATTTGGCAATCTTTTAAAGTAGATCTCTGAATTTCTCACAAATAAATCTCAACAAGTTAAGATTGATAGTTCTTTATCAGATCCGATTCAAATCATTAGCGGCG